GTATCATGTGGGGGAACATAGATAATCTTATATTGAGATGAAGGGTTTTTGTACAGTTGTCTCACTCAGAATCACTCTTATTCAATGAACTATGAGTAATGATATAAAAGGGATAATCAATAAGATATGATAATGGATTTTCTTTGTACTTCATGAAAGCCCTATAATTTGCCGGTTGATTTTAGAAGAATACACGCATTTTCAAGAGAACTCCAGTGAATGAGGAACAAATCAATAGGCTACTATTCATCTATTTGTGTACATGTTCCCATCTTAAAACACCATTTAATACCATCATTGGTTATGATCACACATCAGGCCTGGTGCCAGAGCAAGTCTGCAGCGAGGCAATGTGATTTCCATGGGACAGCCCACAAAACCACCATCTGCGGCGGCACAAATGAAATACCAATCAAACAGCGCGGCCAACGGCGTTGCGTAAAAACGTGGACATGCAAACAACAAAAAACCCCTTTGCATCCGATCATACATGTGCGCGGCGACACAAACTCTAATAAACTGGATGAGTATGTGCGTAAAGGCACACATATACAGTAGTAATCAGTGACACTTATCCAGCAGCAAAATCTCAACCTGTCGTACAATGGACAGCTTCCCCCCCCATCTATGTATAGACTCGCATTTTAGACTCTGTTACTAACTGTATATCTGTAGACTTGGTATGTCTTAAATGTCCGGTTAGGATGTATTAGAACGAAATCTAAAATGAAAATTGTAAATAAGCCATCTGTATGTAAAAAACCACCTGTATGTAAATTGTAAATAAGTCATCTGTATGTCAAATATGTCTTATATGTCTTAAATGATATGATGAATTGGAAATGGGGGACCCTGATGTAAACAAGACAAAAGTCTTTCTCTGGTCTGCATCCCCTTAACAATTGTATGTTTTGAGCTGTACTGTACTGTACCCAATATACAAGCTGTTAATAAACGTTTCAATCAATCAATCAAACCAATGTACACAATGCAGAGCGACACCACATTGCGCAACGAGCAGCAGACGATGTAATTAAGATGTAAATTGTGACTCACCGCTTGATGGTAACTTGTAGAGGCATTTCCTGGGTGGGAAGTGATATGTTCTGAATGGTGATTGGTCTAAACGTTGGCTAATGACAGGAGTCTTATTATTTACATTTACATTTTTGGATGTGAATTAGTATTTAACATCATATAGATCCTAGCATTTAAGTGCAACATAAAACAAATGATAATAATTGTAAAACACATTTATTTGGAATGGCTGGGAATCACAGTATTCATTTTCCTTCATGTGATGAAATGCTGCCCATTTAAAGGATACATCCTATCTCACACTTCTTGTGTTATATATCAAGTGATATGGGAAGTTCAGCGCATTCCAGGAGCTATTTGGTGATGAAGTGTTGTAATTTACTTTCTTACCCTTTTGTGATTTGCAGTCCACATGGTGATTTGCTACATTTCAATACTTTTTCCATGTCCAGAAGAAGCCAAACACAAAGTCTTTCAATGCTGCATTGCACTCTGGTCTACTGAGGCTTTGAGTTTCTGTGTCTGTGCAAAATCACAAAGTAAGTGACACAGCCACAATGCAACAGAACAGACCCAGAACATTCCGAAATATATTGTCAGAGGACGGGTTTATCGTCTCATTCGAGGAAGGATTTTCCTTTCATACAGCAGTTTTTATCCCCTACACCTGAGAGGCTGCTCACAGAACAACAGATTCAACACAGTACATCCCATGACTAAATACTTGTGATGTTCTGATGCACAATTGGGTCACCGGCTTGCTGTTCAAACTGTGTGCCAATTGAACAACAGGATAGGGGTTCAATGTCCATGGCTTCATAGCAAGCTGCTCTGCTTTGGCGAGCCAGCATCATAAGATTGCCCCCAGGGTAAAAGCTCAATAACAGACTACAGTTAGGAGTGGGGGTGTACTGACAGACAAAGTAACCCCTCATAATGGCTCTCCATTCATGGCCGGGGCTCCTGAGTACACTACACAGCTTATGGATACTTGATATGGATTACATTCACTTCACTGACTATCCTTTGATTTTTTTGTATGTGCTTGGTTTCGTCTTTTTTTAGCCGCATTTTTACCATCGTGAGAAGTTCAAGATAGTATTCCGTGCCAATGGTGTCTATCGAATACTTGCCAACACTTTTTGCAGACATTAATCACGTTTTTTTTAGATTGAATGCAACATTTTCTGCCCTAACATGCTCAATCTACCGTATCACTTTACATAAACATGTCATGCACGTTTGCATTCCGTTGCCCCAGTGCATGCTGGGATAGGCTCCAGCCCCCGATGTGACCCTGAGGAGTTAATGGTGGGTACAGAAAATGGATGGTTGGACGGATTGATCGATGTGCAATTCATTCTAAAACATCCCCCATCAATTAAAGTGACCACAGGTGGATTGAAGTGATAGAGATGTCATGGGAGGAATTTTAATGCAGCTTGAGTGAACTTGAAAAGTCACTGAGGATGCTAGATAAAAACCCTAGTTTAAAATATGTAGAGACAAAACTTTGATTAAAACGTGTGGGCTCAACTTATCTTAATCAGTGTTTAAACAAACAATGATACATATTTAACACCTGCTAATTACACAACTAAATAATTGCTTTTTTGATGATAAATATTTTAATCAAACACTTTGCTGTATTTAAGTTATTATCTATGATATGTTGAACCAACTGAAACAATCCAATTATGTATGATTCAGTATAAATGCAAAAGCTGTTCCAAACAAACTAAATGTTAAGGAGGGCAGGCCAGGGACAGCCAGAACATGAGAACAGAAATAAACTTTAGATTTTTCTTAAGTACAAATTCTGAACATCCCCCCCTCAATGAGGAAAAGTAGCCAATTTCTTCTTGAGCGACATTTTTTCCCCTCTTGCACGTACTGAACCTTTTCTGTCCTCCAGCAATCACATCCAACAGTGTGATTGTTCTGTATTTCTGCCGCTCACTGTTCATTAAATGTCAGGAGGAATTAAAGCAAGGGAAGAAGTGCAGCTTGAATAATGTAATGTGTGAGGCACTAATTGACTGCAGCTTGCAACAAAAAACGCGGTGAAACACTTCGCTGCAGAAGAGAGGTCGATAATGTTGCCCTAAAGAGATGTTCTGTTGTTGTGCTCACAGATATGCATATTAATGACTGGTGGTCGGGGAACAATTCAACACATTTACAACAGCATACTTTAAAAAATAATAACAAGGTGAGATGATATGGATTTTCGTTCTTTGAAAGCATTTCCCTAACAAAGCTAATGTATCATCTGCAGTACAAATGAGACAGTGGACACTCCAATAACTCCATTTTAGTGCTTGTATTCATGCAGAGCAACACAAATAGAATTACTGTAATAATACGGCATGTTACTTGCTGTAACAAAAGCTTTATTTATGTGTTCACCGCTGTTTCTGAGTGCTCATGCGTAAAAAGGCCTTGCTGTTTGGCCTGTTTTAATTACATTTCGGTCACAGGACATGATTATGTCTGGCTGCGGTGCAAAACAAACATAGGCAGTGTTCAGAATGAATTGTAAATAGTCACTGTTGGTTACTGGTGTGTTGTTTGAGTTCAGGTCTGTGGACTTGCCTGTGTGCTTTGTGCTCTCACCACTGGTTATCTTTACACTCATGAGTCACACGTGTAGCACCTCGCTCATGCTTCCACATAATTGCATTACACGTGATAACAGAATGAAAATCAGCGTCACTTCCACAGCCGCTGCCTCTTAAAAGTGATCATCCATAGTCATTAGAGATAGGTCTCTATAGCTTTTGACCAAAGAAGAGGTACTTAGCTGTAATGCACCACCATTTTTCATCATTATTGTGCAATTGTATGCAAAAACTCCTCTTAACGTCCACAAGATAGTGTGAGGGGAAGCTGCTGTACAATTTGCTATACTGGGAGTTACACAACCATAAAACCAATGAATAATTTAATGGAATAATTTATATATCTCACCTTAAACTTCTTATTCTCTTATATGCTGTGTCTTTTATTAGAAATATTCAAATCATTCTCAGGGATGGATCAAATCTTCTTAAAACGTTTTATGACAAATAATGTTCAGGTTGAATTTGAAACAGAAGTCAATATGAATAACTAATTATTCCAACTTTCTTATAGTGCAGAGACAATGTCTGATACTTGTTATATACCGCTTCTTTTAGTTGCTTATTTAACGTATTAAATGTATTCAACATTGTAGCTCTGTTGCAAGATGGGCCCAATGGTGAGCTTCGGTTCAGACAATATTCCATTTATTTGCAGTCCCTAAAGTAAAACATCTCTCTGAACACAGTAATGCACTTTGCTAATGTCTCACCTTTAGACGGGCATATTGCTTATGAGTCTCACTGGATCAAGCTGCAGTGGATCATTTGTCTTCCCTGCTGTCTGTGTGTGTGTGTGTGTGTGTGTGTGTGTGTGTGTGTGTGTGTGTGTGTGTGTGTGTGCTGGTCTGTTTGCATCCTTCAAATGATACATGCCTGCATACAAATCTATAAACATTTATTTATTCATGTCAGTGCGGTATCTGTATTTGTATGCGAGTCCTGTACGTGCATCAGTGAGGTACCGTGTGTGTTCTTGCAAAGCATCTGCAGAAACATCAATTATGATGGAAAAAGGAGGAATTAGAGAGGGTCCGCTGTTCCCCCAGAGTAGAGGATACAATAAAACTCGTGCAGAAAAGCGTGGCTGGTGAAACCCTGCAGCCATTGTTGTGTGATTAAGGACTAGGTTTGAGCCATCGCGGGGGGTTCAAATATTCACACAGCAGGAATACAACCAGATAGTGTTTACATAAGTACATGCACATACACACACACGCACTGTGGAGGTCTGATAACACATTACGGGGAATGCAATTATTTGGCTGCATAGTGTGCACTGCAGAGGCTACATCAATGTACAGTAACTGTGATGCACTAACCATGAATCCAGCTCCAAGGTAATGTAATATTGCAACTCTTTATTTCCTGTTCATCAGTTACAGCATCTGTTTATATTCTGTACAGCACTGAAGGCACACAAAAACAAAGATATAATGGAACATAAGTATATACAAAATATACAGAATAAATAATTAAATCTAGTTAAGTAGAAAAGCTACATAGTGTGTGCTTACATGAACCGTTTCAAATGTTTCCAGGAGTATGAAGGAGTGTGTAAAGTCTGACAATGTCCACATTTCAAATGTCAGTCGCCAGCGGTCCATTGCTTTTAATATGAGCCGAGAGAGGTTGGCTGAAGTCAGTCGGCAGGTAAGTTGGAGCGAGTAACCGTCCGTGTGCTAACAGGTGAATATGCCCCGCCTCTAAGAAGCAGATCAGCCAGTCAGCATGAGGAAGGAGCTTTTGTCAGACATAAAATAGTGACATGAAACACAATCTCACATCCGCTCGCACACATAAACACACACTGTAGTACCATACACATTTGTGCCTCATTATTTGTGGCAGAAAAAGAAAAAAAAAAAATCAGCAGGCCTTTTTTGATTGTCATGCACCATCTTATGGCATTTGATTAGTGCAATGCATTTTTTTACAAGATTACAGTTGTGTATAATATACTTTAAGTGCTGTATTTTCTGTTTCAAAGTAACATAAAACATCCTTTCTGTGAGAATGTCACCAGTTTGTATAAAAATAAATAAAAGGATCTATGACTGCAGTGTATTGAATTGATCGAGAGAGCTGACAGTATATCAGCGGAGCCACACTCCTACCGACGCTTTCCAATGTACAGTTGGCATTTCGCTGACTCTACGGCACATTGAGCATTTCGTTACAGCATTCCAGCTGGCTTGTGTTGACAGAGGGCGTAATCAGGTCATACACAGGATACACTGATTAAACAGCAATTCTGGGTCAAGTGGTGATTGAAATTCACCCACTTCTTTCCAAACATCTGGTGAGCTGTGCAGATCAATTCAGATTTAATCAATCATCACAAGCTGATTTAGCCCATTTCAAAGAGGGTTTCAACCCAGGTCCACTGTAATAGCTTCTTGACGTTACATTTGGCCAAACATTACTCTCACCAGCTACATAACATGGCTGTCAACAGATGAAATGTAACACAAACAAAACCAGTTACATTCTGTGCTACAATATAACTAAAAGTGGTGTGCCCATAATATATATATCTCACACTGGAAAGTACAGGAGGGCAAACAGGACAAGGCACTTGGTTCCAAACATAATATATAGGTTTATATATATATATTTTTTCTGCTTGAGTTCAGTTAAATGCAGTTTGATGCTCCAGAACCTCCAAGTAGTCTGGCTCAGTGTGCAGGTTGGCCTTGAGTTCAAAGTACTCGTTCTTAGTTTGCTCAAGCATGACCTTGTGTGGTCTTGAGTACATAATCGTCTCCATTAGCTTCAACTCTTCCTGGTGCCCAGGGACCTGCATGTCTACGGCAGACTGAAGCTGGGGCATGTTTTTCCTAAGGTACTCAGTTATTCCAAGTTGCTGCAGCTCCTTCTCCCGCTCGAAAATGTTCCTGTAGAAAGAGTTGGGATTCCCGAGCGTGACGAACTCGGCGGGGCACTCGCCAGTCATGGGTCGAAACTTTGAGCTGGGGTTTCCTGTGAGTGGGGAAGTGTTTTCCTTCTCCATGATACTCCGGCAGAGGTGATGCTTGGCGCTGGGATCGTCGAGGCCATAATCCAAATCCATGTCGTGCTCCTTGTGCTGGGAGCAGTAGGTGGGGTTGCGACAGATCTGCACAATAGGACTGTGGGATCTCTCTTCGTACAGAGAGGCAGACCCTGTTCTCTGTGTCATGGTGTGGTGTGTCGTTTTCTGCCCGTACATGCTGTAGTGTAAGTGAATTGGACTGCTGCTGTTTTCTCTCGGCTGTTCCTCGGCTGCTTTTCTCTTCGCTCTTCTCCGCCGCCGATGCACTACAAACACCACCAATCCGGCTGAGCAGAAGATAATCATGAGGATCAACATGAGAAGGCATAAGATGAGCACAGAGAGTGGGACACTGTCCGTGAGCGAGCTGAACAAACCCTGTCCTTGACTGTCAGGCCCCAGGGTGGCGGTCACTTCATCACCTGGGGACGGAGGGTAGTAGGTCCCCAGACCAGGACATAGCACCTCATAACGGAGGCTTCTCAGCTCCGCCTGCATCACTTTCTTAGGGCTGTGGCAATAAATGGAGCCAACCACTGTGTCTTTTTGGAGCTTCTCCACCCATTGTTTGAGGCTGAGCAAGTCACAGCTGCAGTCCCAGGGGTTGTCCTCTAAATAAATCTGCTCCAGCGAGTCGAGTTGATCAAGCACGTTGCTCACTGGCAGGTGCATAAGTAGATTTTTCCTCAAGTTTAATTTGGTGAGGGGCACATTGCGAAAAATCTGCGCGGGAAGGGAGCTGAGCAGGTTGTTATTTAATGACAACAGCTTCAGGTTTGGCAGGGGATTAAATGTGCCCGGGGCAATCTCTTTGATAAGGTTGTATTCCAGATACAGATATTCAAGGTTGTGGAGCCCCACAAACATTGTGGAGAACAGTTTTTCAATGCGGTTGCCATTCAAATAGAGTTTTTTCAAACTGCTCAAGCTGAGGAACGTTTCGTTGTCAATGTAATCAATTCTGTTGTTGGCCAAGTTGAGCAATTCTAAACTATCATATGTGACAAAATCTGACTTCAATAGCTTCTGAATCATATTTCCCGTCATGACCAGTTTAGCGGGGCTTTGCTGAAGTATTCCGATATCTGATATCTTCTGAATGCCTCTGTCCTGACAATGCATCAAAAAGCCAGCCACAGGGTGATTGTGACAGGAACAGTGCTCCACACAAGGACTGCCGGGAAGGTTAGACGGTGTCGGTGCCTTGGCGTCAATCATCTTGGGAATCTGGGACGCTTTGGAGGAGGGCGTTACAACCATATCCAGTGACTTCGACGGCTCTTCCAGGTTAATGTCAGCATGGGACGGGCAGAGAACATCCTTCTTGACTTTAGCCAGAATTGTCCCCTTTAGGTGATTTGGTGTGCTGCAGAGTACATCCCCAATTGCTGACTGGGACCTCATGTTCTCCATCCAGATTTTTAAATGTAAAATATCACAGTCGCAGACCCACTTATTGTCCTCCAAAAGCAGTTCCATTATCCGTCCGATGTGCTCCAGAAAGCCGACATAAGGCAGAGTCTGCAGTTTGTTGCCACGCAAGTCCAGGTGGGTGAGGGGCACGAACCGGAAAATGTTGTTGGGTAAAAACTCGATGACATTATCATTGAGGATGAGGACCTTGAGGCGGATCAGTTTGTTGAAGGCCCCGGGCTCGATGACCCGAATGAAATTTGTGTCAGCTTGGAGAAACTCCAAATTCACCAGGCCTTGAAAAGTGTCCTCTTTCAGGTTGACAAGGAAATTGCTATTTATGTGGAGTTTTTTCAGTGAACCGAGACTGCTAAACACCCCTGGTTCCAGCTCTTGAATGCTATTACCCCCGATGTGCAGTGAAAGGGCATTCTTAAGCCCTTCCATCTCCTCTGCGCGGAGCTCAACCAAGTCATTTTTGTAAAGGTTCAGGTGGAAAGGCACACCTGACGGGACTTTGATTTGGGAGATTTTGGTGATGTTTCTTTGCTCACAGTTCAGGTGAAGGATGCCATCTTTTCCCTCGCAGGAGCACAATGAGTCACAAGACTCACTTATGGAGGATGATGCCTGTGAGGGAATGATATCCTGGGATAGGGCTGCAGTGAGAAACAAGCCGATGAAGATGATGCAGGGCAGCATTTCGGTCGGAGATATCTGTGGAGGAAAGATGGAAACATGGGCAGAAGAAAATTCAGTTAACATTGTTTTAATATTCTTGCAGTTTTACATAAATGTAATTGTACTAAAATGTAAGAAACTGTTGAATGATATATGACCCCAGTGATCCAAATGCCATGTATGTTTCATGTGTTACAATACATGAACTTTTGTTGTTCTATGTGTCAAAGTGTCAAAGTCATGCAAATTTGATGTGATACAATCCATGAACTTTGGTTATTGTGTGTGAAAGTGCAACAGTGTAGAATGACATGGGTGCCTCACATGCATGAGGTGAAGTAACCCCGGTCTTGTATAAAGTGTGTGCTGTGGAATTATTTCATATAGTCAAAATGAATCAAACATGGGCAAACAGGAGAAGGCAAACAGTGTCCACTATTTTACACTTCTTTATATATTAATAAATAACTCTTAGCAATGTGGATTCCTGGGTGGACTTGAATAATTGAAGTCCAACCAAGTGTAGCAGCTAATAATCCATGTTATCATCAGAATCCACCCAGAAACTGCATTAGCGATGAGTAAATGCATTTCGTGGTGTGGGCAAAGACAGTAAGGCAGCATCTCTTTACGATGACTCACACTGGGATAATGGTACATTTAAAGAAATGACTTTCTCATTTGACTGATTTTGCTGTCCTTTATATGCAGACTCATGAACAAGGACAAAGACTCACTCAGTGTGAGTCATACAAAGGCAGAAGTCAGCTCAATCCCTCTAGAGTCCGTGTCACGGCGAGATTTATAAAAGCCAGTCTAAATAAAGAACTGAATAGCGATGCCTTTATCGCCCGTCCAATAACTTGCACTTCACTGAACTGAGTGTGAACTTATCATGAACAACACCTTTATTCATCTGTTTGTATAATGTTATTCTGATTGTGTTTTCCAATGTTGCAGTGAACAACAACGTATACAAGAGGTCCCACAGACAGCACTGTCCAGTTGAACCAATATCTAATGACGATTATTCATTGTAATCAGGATTGATGTTGTATGACAACGGAAACGCCGGAATGTGATTTTAATGATGAGCCACATCTAAATCAATTATGCTAAATTGAGATCACAATGGATCAAAGGCAAGATCACTCCCACGAGACTGCCGGTGAAGTACAGGCATCTTCCCGTGCTCGAGGATAACTAGATATCCACCATTCGCTGACAGAATTCTTCAAAGAGATAGGACGTGGAAAGATGGAAAGAAGACGCAGCTGTTCTTGTTAACAAATCCGATTAGTATCTTGAAAGCTTCGTTCTAACAAGACGAGGCAAGTCTAGTTCAGTAGATTCAGCCGGTGCAGAACAGTGTTTGTCAGAAACCGCAACGTCTGAGTGATCCATCTATAAATGGGAGTCCACTCTGTTGACGGGGAAATACTTACTGCCCATTGAAAGTCAATCATATGTAAGGTACATATCGGGGGCAGGGGTTGATTGAAGTGTCTAATCACAAACAGAATGTTAATCTGTTCGGTGCAGCTCGGTGACTCACTATATAGAATTTTAAAGACTTGCAAGAGCGTGACTGCAAAAGTTAAAATATATATCAGATTACTGTAGTCAGTTCAGATGAAAGTCTTTCCAAACCCACACACATAGAGGACGGCATCCAGGGAGACAACCGAACCTCTCAAAGGGGCGGCAGCTCCAAAGACAAAAGCTGAATTTGAAGGAGTCTCTTAAATAGTAACTTCACTCCTACTTCTACTTCTTCTTTCTCTTTGACCTCTTTTGCCTGTTTCAAAGTGCCTTGCTATATATTTTTTCTCTTAGATAAAGTACAAATTATTAATGAAAAGCAAGACAACACAACCTCCAACATCTTTGATGTATTTAGACATATTCCCCAAGGTTACTCTAAACTTTTCTCTCACTACATGAAACTAGGCACTATAACAAGTACACTTTGTTTGTCATATTCTTTTTGTATTATCTAAGTTACCGAAAGGAAATAAATACATATTTCTTTATAAATATCATCACTAATAATAAAACTACCAACTTAAACAATTCTACAGGGAGTCACCACGACTTCAGACAGAATTCACCACAATAATTAGTTGCATGTTGTTGCCTCGAGGGATATGCAACAACAAGGAGGCCCACACTGAATATTATTTCAAAATGACACTCATTATGAGTCATTAAGGAAAATATCGGCACATCAAACAGAAGATTAAAACGGTTTGTTTGTTATAGGGCTGTGCAATTAATCATATTATAATCGCAATTACGATTTTGGCCTGCCACAATTACGAAAACAACATAATCGAAAAAAACAATTATTTTGCTTTGCTAGGTTGTGACTGCACTGCAACATATTTGATCTAATACATTTTGGTCTCATTTATTTGTATTTATCATATTTATATATGTTTAGTAGCTTGGGGAAGTGTGCTCCAAAATATTTGTTGATCTTGTTTATTGGTATTTCTTATTTTGATATTATTTATTTAAATGTATCATTTATTTTATTTATTTTTGTATTGGTTTTTCAGTTGAATTATACGTTCAGGGTAATCAACAGTTAAAAAGATACTGTTCAAATTATTATTTGTATTTGTTTTAAAGTTCAATAAATGGATTTTTTCAAAGTCAATGAATAATCGTATTTAATAATCGTGATATCAATGATTGACCCAAATAATCGTGATTATGATTTTTGCCATAATCGCACAGCCCTAGTTTGTTAATAATATTTATTTACAGAAAGATACAGATAAGAGCCAAATTTGAAGTCATCTAATGATGCTTTTAACACTTTTGTATAATAAAATGTCTAAAAACATGATAAAATTGGAATTTGCATTTGGTCAAAAACATAATGCTTAAAACCTGCTACATTACTGAAGACTCTTATACATCCCAGCTAAATAATGACCATGTTGAACCAATAACAGGCAGAAAATAAGGGGAGATATGATTGTACAAGCTCCAATTACCCATGTTTGTCAATGGCAGACAATGTGGTGAGTCACAATGAATACCAGAAATCTAATTGGCAAAACCTATTAAATATGCATTGTTTGGACAGTGATAACATTCGGACAAGGGATCCAAAAAGCTGGCCTCCCAGAATATCTCTGTCCATTTCCTTTTCATTATGTATCTGCGTTTGCTTGTGCAGGAGTCTGCTGGTGGTCACGGCACCCGAGGCACTCACCTCTGTGACCCTGATGGCTCGTAAGACAATGCGAAATGAAACTAGACTATTAACAGATGTTATCGCATGCTGCATGATGACACTGCAGAGGGCAGATATGGAAAGGCATTAGCCTCATTGCACTCTTTCTTCTGTATTTCAAACAGCCTTATTTAACCGATCCATTTTCCACGTAATCAATGTTGCATGGGATTCAGCTTGACAGGCACCGGAAGATGAAACACTCTGACTTTGCGCTGTTTCTTTTCCTAAATTAAAATGCGCTTCTCTTGCTGTTCAGACAATTCAATTAGAGGCCCACTGAAGCCCTATGAATTCTCCCCTCATGCATGTGTGTGAAGCCAAGTCATCGGCCGACATCAAATGAGATGAGTTAGAGAAAAGATAGACGGAGCAGAAATGGGAGAGACCGCAAAGGGGAAGTGGAGAAGAAAAGTCTGCGGATGGAATATTTATCACACATTGAGGCTTTCTGCACGCGCTGTAACATACACAACAGGATTCAGGTCGCTTATAGACTCATAAATAGCATGTTCACACTGAATTAGGGCCGGCTATGTATACTATTGTTCCAGTATAGTGCAGTGTTCCATAATATCAAGGAAGTCCAATGTCCACTCATGAGTATGTTGGCATGTCACACTGACTAGGTTTCCTCTGTGACGTACTTCTCTAAGCAGTTGACTAATCACGACATAGTCGGCGAGCTAACCAATCAAACAAGGCTCTGGTTTCGGACAGAGGGTGAAAAGATGTCCCCTTTAACAGACATTAAATTCAACTGTGGAATCTCAAATGGCTGAAACAAGCCATCACATGAATCACGGTGACATCCAAGTTCAACTTGTAGACTTTATTGCACCCTAAAGGAACCTCTCTTTTGTTTTTACCCTCTTCAAAAGGAAGGTCAGGTTTGGTTCCAAGCGAGTCCTGCAGCTAGAAATGATTTAGTGTTTTTGCTCATGATCGCTGCAGTAAAACAACAAACTAAAAGGCAGAAAGTCCATGATGGTGCAGCATAGTACAACTTAAATATTATTTCCCACTTTATTTCCTCCTTTGTGTACAACCAACCAAGGTAATTAGCCTTGAGGTCAACAGGCAGCATCCATCTTGTGAATAAGCAATGAAGCTGCAGATAATGCCAGCTCACCGCATTAGGATTCTGATACAAACATTGATACTGACAAACGTATCTTGTTTGACTTTGAAAAACGTTGACTTTTCTAAAACTAACAAAGTTACATGCTATACCTTTGGAAAGCCAGGGGTCGCACTAAGCATGCAATCTTTACTGGAGAGCACAAAGCACATGTGTCCTTGATCTCCATTGATTTTTCACACATAATGCACCAAACGGTCAGAGCGTTGCTGTACCACTTATTTTTATCCTCCATACATTTGTCATAGTTTGCAGTGAACTGACACAGATCACAAACAGTACACAACAGGAAGTCTGGATTTGAACTGACTTATGTGCACACTATCCAGTTGACAGTTTAGGACATAATTCTCAGATAATGCGAACGTAGCCGTAGTCATGTTCTGTCCTCGTCACTGTCAAAGTAAGTAAAGCATGCTGGAGCCACAAATAGCCCATAAGGCAGGAGCCTAATTCCTTTTTCTGTTGCGTGTTGATGTACAAGTATGAAAGGCTTGTTATCCCTTGTAGCGCACGACAGATAGAACCCATTCTCCCATCTCTGTCAGGACTGATAAAAGTCACTCCGTATTTGTGTTTTAAAACATGTATATCTTAGGGACACTTTAGAATTTCTGTGGTTTTCTAATGGTTTTAAAAAGGCTGCAC